AATGAAAATCATTCAGTAAGCTCGTACGACTTGACTACATGCAAATTTTCGCACCAGGCAGACCCCCCGGAGGAGAAATACTCTATGACTTTTTGGGCAGGAGTGTCCTCTGAGACCCAGGAACCCATACCTTTTACCACTCCATGTTCAGCTGCAATTTTGCCACCCTAGCTATTCTGGACGTATGTGTTTGTGATATGTGTACAACAAAAGCCAACAAATTAAGCCTACACTTTGTGAGATAAGTGCTACCTTGCGTGATATGGACCCGGCTTGTTTTAACAGCCTTTAATAATACACCAGTAACAGCAAGTTCACCAACATGTTTCATCTCTAGATTGCTTAATTCACGAGTTTGATCATAGGTGTTCTTTGATTTGGCATCCTGATAAAAGTTTGAATTCGGAGGTGGCAGACAAAAAATGGTTGACGAAGATGAAAGATGTGCAAATTTGCTTGTATCTTTCATTGTTGTTTTCGATTTCTTGCGTCGTCTGTCCGGGAAGCAGAAGAATAAACCAATCACAATGTTCGATTCCGGAGCTTGTGATTGGTTGGTTCTAGTACCGCTTCTGTTTCCGACTCCGACAGTCTAGTTTTCACTGGATCATAAGCAACGAGTTTATGACTCGGCTTACGACTCCGAATTTCGGCTTTCCCTATGTCATAAGCGCTCTTAACTTATGACTCCACTTACGACTCCGACTCCAACCTCGTCGCTAATGAAAACCAGCCTTAAGTATCACAGTGAGGCTTCAAATCAGTCTTGTGTCGCTTTAGCATAACTGCGCTTTAAGCAACTTTATTTAACCTGCATATTTCATTTGTCTATTTTTTTAAAGGAATATGAAGTGCTTTGTGTTCTTCATAATAACTTGGGTCGTGGTGGCGTCATTCCCTCTCGACAAACAAGCTCAGGTAAAAACAATATCTTTATTTCTGTGTAATTTGTCGGTTTAATTCTTACAAGGGCAACATCTGTAGTAAGGAATTGCTGCTCGGAGAATTTTCACATACATGATTTTTTTTCTTTATAACAGGATGAAGATCAAGGCAAAGACAAAGATCCTGGTTAGTGCATCAATCGGTTTCTTTTTGCGTTTTCAGATTCCATATCACTATTTGCGAGAACTGTCAAATTATATTTCTCGTCAGCGGCTCGGGAGCTTACCCTTAGGTGAGTCAACAAGAGTTCAGACAAAAAGATGACGCCATCACCCTTTTTATTGCCTGTTTAGTGTTGTCAGTTCCAGATTCAAGCGAATTATTAAAGAGAAACCCATCAAAATCGTAGAAAAAATGTTACATAACTCATTTTTTCGGTACCATCCATTTAATGAAGTTCAAGTAAAATTTATAATGTTATTGCGATGTTATATGATCTAAAGCTAACAAAACAAGTCTCGACAAAGATAGATATGATAACATTTGTTCCATCAAATTTGGCACGGCCGCCGAAGTTATATGTCGTTTGACAACACCGCTGGCACTTTTTGTCAACAGTGAACCAATGCTTGAAATGTCGCTGTCGGACATCAAGAATAGTATAAATACCCACTGATAATAACGAGAACTGCGGGCTTTAGTTCTATTATAACCTTTCTCTATAGAGAAACAAGACTAAACAACCCACAGTTTAAGTCGTTTGGCCGTACCAATAGGACTCTAGCTTCTTGAGTGTTTAGGAAACCTCTCAAGTGTCCGACAAAACTGACTTTCATTGCAAAATTAAACAGATTCTGTTCATTCAAGAGCTAAAGCCTTCCCTTAATGTCAATGTCAGTAGTGAAAAGTTGCTGCTCTATTAGCTGCTACTCCTCAGAATGTCTGGGCATGTTTCTCAGTCTAGGTTCCAGAGCTCTTATATTAACGGTCACTTTTGAAAATGTATGTAGACTAGCATACAGAGCGCTAGCTTCTGTATTAGAATGCGTTGGAATACAATGTTTATCACCGCAGTTTGTTTCTTAATCAAGCTACGATGGCCTAAAAACAAGAGTTAATACAATTTATTTTCATTTTAGTGGCTTTAAATAGATCACGACAAAATTTATCTACTGTGGTCCTGCGATTTGCACCAAAACTTGCACTTGTCAATAGGAAAAATGCCAGTCTTCTTTTTTTTTTTAACTAATACGTTTTATTTTGGGGTTGCTTAGAATTCATTGTTTGGTTGCCTTACCTGGGTTTGTCTTGATTTGCCAGCTGAGGTGCTTGGATTATTGTTGTCGGCTCGTAATTAAAAAATAGTTCAACATTTTCTGATCCTCATTACTTTTTCTTTTCTTAGCTCTTAGGCCCATTCCAAACGCCGCTCCATTCATGCGCCGAACCTAACTGATGAGTGAAGTACGGCAGAAGAGCGGCGTTTGATTCAGTTTGGTTCGGCAGGTTAGGTTTGGTGCGGCAAATAACATTAAATTCGGCAAGGTCTGTCGCACTATACGACGTTGGAGCGGCAGCTGATTCATACGGTGTTCCTCTCATGTGTCGAACCTAATGCATAAACTAGTGTATTGTATTTTTCATATAATGGGACTCGTGATTGGCTCAAAATTGAGTGGCGTGACTAGTCATGCATGAAGCTCGAAGTCGTCGCTAAAATTAAAGACAAAAAATATGTCTTCGATTTAAGAGGTTTTTTTATCGCAAATTCATTTTTTGCTTTTTCTTCGTGATTATAGCTCAGCTTGTTAGATTTCCTTTATCAAGTCGAATTAACCGAGAGAAACCTGTCTAAATACAAACACTGGACCTTGAATTTGAATTGAATAAACAGCGAAATGTTAGTGATAACTTTCCTATTTGGACAGAGTGTTTGAATTCAGAACGCATATTTTCTCCTGGAAAATAGTTACCATCGGCTTCCCGAATTAAGTTCGACGCAAGTGCGCCGTCTAAACCAGCCGTCGCTCCAAAGTCGCTCTAAAGTCGAACTTAATCAAGTTTGGTTCGGCACATGACTGGAGCGGCGTTTGGACCGGGCCTTAGTTGCTTTGTTTGACGACCAAGGCAAAAGTAAATTTATGGGAATCTATTCTATTCCATTCTATTCTATTCTACTCTATTCTACTCTATTCTACTCTATTCTACTCTATTCTACTCTATTCTACTCTATTCTAC